CCCCCCCCCCCCCCCCCCCCCCCCCCCCCCCCCCCCCCCCCCCCCCCCCCCCCCCCCCCCCGTAAAAATAATGACATTGTCTCATTGTAGATAATAATTTAACTGAAACAAAAAAATGTCACCCATTTATCTTACAGTATCAATAGATGAAAATATTATAAAATATATATAATTTGATATTTTAGATATAGAATAATGTCACTAGAAACATATTGTACATGTTACGTTGGATCATCACTCGGTGTTGAATATCAGTTTCCATCAATAAAACATTTTAGTAACATTCATTCATGTGTACAAGATATATTACACATGAAAGATGTTAATATTCAATTATTTATACCGGCTGATATGACTATAATAGAAATTGTAAAAGAACTTCTTACACAAGTACATATTTCCATTGTTATGGTATATATTTTAAATAGAAAAAATGAATTTTTATGGCAACAATTTGATGATATTTCTCATCAATTATCAAAATTTCATAAACCTTTTGCATATCAAACATTAAAAGCATTTCTAATCACTCTTACTGGTACAAATATAAATACACAATCAGATAATCATCCATTGGATAAACATGCCCTATTAAGATGTCTCACAGAATTACATCAAGATGTTAGAAAAAAACGAGAACAACTTCTGATGAACAAGAGTTCACAGTCATTTGAAAATATTACAAATACTACTGGTAATTATGAACAGAACAGAACAGAACATATCATTATTTTAATCAATTATTCATTTTAATTATAGACAACGTACTCATAGCCACTCAGTTATCGTCCTTCTATGAAACAGATTCCTGTCAATCTCCACCTCCACAATTGGGTAAATGTCATAGTGAAGAAGAAGAAGAAGAAAAAAACGTTTAGCAATTGTTTTTATAATATTTTATTTACTCTTTTTTTAGATAATGTTCAATCTTCAATACCAGTAAATACGTTTGTTCTATTGTTTAATTATATGTCTACTAGTCATCTATTTTAGGCCAGCAAACTTCTGTCATATTAGACAATTTTTGATCAAATATGACAAGTGTAATCAGTAATATTGATATACCGAGTTGTGCTTTAAGTTTAAAATTCTTATATCTCACGCATTGAGAGCTTGTCTTGCCATATCAAATTTAAAAAATAATGTTTTGTTGTTGGTTTTATCTAAAATTTTATACACATTACTCATTGAAACTCAGTTCTCTATCACTTTTTGTTCAAATATGATAAGCATTCTGCCGAGCCACCTCATTTTCAGAAAAGGATAATAATTATTTGTTTTTCGAAATTTTGAAAAGAAGTAAAACGAATGTAAAATAAACTTTTTTCAATTAACTAAATACGAATTTTAAGAAAATTTAAATCTTAAAAATTATTTTGAATACGTTTATTTGGAATTTATTTCATTACTCTAAAAAATAATAATTACTTTGTTTTACTATTACTAATCATGCATGTATGCAGTTAAATTATTTCTTCTATGAGCACACCGATACACATCTATGCGAGATTTTGATAGTCTTTCAGATATCGATGCGGTGTATGAACATTTTTGTGTTTTGTAAAGTAGCAAAAATGACTGAAAGTTATTTTGAGGGAAAACTATTTGTTTCAATTAATTTTCGGTATAGAGAGTTAAGTTTTAACAGATGGCATCTTCTATGCTCATAATATCAGCATACTATGTTTCAAAGTCGTTTAGCTTTAATTAATATCTTTTGCTTTAAAAATATTAACAAAAGTCGTATAATTTACAGTTTGATTATAAACTTTGAAAGGGATTTTAGCTACCTACAGTTTCTTAATATTGAAAGAAAATAATATGAGAGCGCTTGCTGAAATGCTAGTTTTTGAAAATATGAAACGATAGTGACAGAATATAAAGATGTTTTTTATTTTTTTATTTATTTTAGTATTCAGAAGAGAGGACGTATGGTTTTAATGTTTATAATAGAAATTCAATTGATCAAAAATTTATTTGTTCTCAGTGCAATTTAGTTCTTCGAAATCCAGTACAACTCACAAATTGTGGACATCGATTATGTCAACTATGTGTCCACTCTCAAACAGAGTAAGTTCAAAAATTCATTTTTCTCAGTGAAATAAATATAAAATATTTGTTAATATCTGCAAAAAAAAAATAGATTAGAAGAATTTTTAACGAATATTTTATTAGTAATTTTCAAGAGATTTCTTTAGTGTTGCAAAAAAAAAGGAGAAAAGCGACTAATTTTCCAAAAGACAAAATAGTGTGATTTAGAAAAATGATATTTGTTAATAAAGTTCAAGGTTTGTCTTATTTTCTATGAATTTATTTTTTATGTTATTTATGCTTGCTTCTGTAGCTAAAGTTTAATATACTACCTCGTTGATACATGATGATTTTTGGTTTTTTTGGTTCGAGTACAATCATGATCACATATTCATACGCTTAACTTTTTTTCTATTTTGTTTTTAAAATTAAACTGGTCAAAACAGTCAGTCATTCATCGCCTGGTATGTGATCTGACGGTATGAAGGAATGAGAGAAGAGTCAGCAGTCAAAAGCAGATGCACTTATATCATCAAGATAGACACATATTTTGTATCAGATAAAAATGAATTGTTTGTTATTGTTAAAAGATTTTAGATGAAAAGATAGAGAATTTTCTGTTCTATTTAAAACGGTCGGTTCTGCTTTACAACGATTAAAAACTGATTCTATAAATTGTTGAAGAACGAGAAATCAAATTCTATTGAAACGTTCTTGTTTTCTAAATCAGAAAGAGGCAAAATATTCAATTCTCTACAAACTTGCATAATTTTAATAGATTTAATAATTTATCTTTATTCAATTATTTTTTTGACAATATAGTTAAACCATTTTTGAATCAAGACATTTTATTATTTTGTATTCTACAACAAAAATATAGACTATTTTCAATATTAAACCAGTCAGTTTTATAGACAATTTCAATCGAATGAATAACACCGAAAAAAAATCTTAGAACAAAAATGCACCATCCTTTATGAGATAATAAACGTGTTGCCTAAGAAAAATATTTGTTCAAAATTTCATGAAACCATAAAGGAATGTTTAGATTATATTTTGAAAGATATTATTGAAAAATATTTTGTATTAGAATTTTCAATTTAGCTTAAAATAAGGCTTCTTTTTCTTTTTTAAAGTTCAATGAGAAACTGTCAAGGGCGAAATTTCAACTACACGGTTGGAATGAACGTGAAAAACTAGACAAATTTTGAGTTCTACCTAGAGTTTGAGAATAAGAGTACAGATCGTTTTCAAATGGATTTCTGTAAACTTATGTGAAATTTCATCATACATTTTGATTCTTTTCGACTAATATTTTAATTTAATCCTCGATCGAAATTTCTGCTTTTGAATTTCGACACATTTTGACAAAAGCAGGAAATCATTTGAAATTTCTGCCTTTTTTGCAGTAATTATTTTTGAATTTCGACTATTATTTCGCCAAAAAATAATAGTATCACAGGAATTTCGACAAAATTCGGGTTAGGTCGTTAATAACTTGTAGTGATTCGTGTTTGTTGTATATATTGTTGTCGAAGGACGTAGTGGAATTTTGACAAAATTTTCTACTTTAATGAAGTGATGGAAAAAATATAGAAAGGATATATTAGGTAATGCAACTGTATTTATAAAGTAGTTGTGAAACAAGAGAAATTGTTCCTATGTGTTCTGCTGTTCTGTTCTGTAGTCAAAAGTAAAAATTTTCGAAAATTTGAAATGACTTATTTGTTATTGTACAACAGCACTGTCTGTAATAGCAGTTTTTGTTGAATAAATGTTGCTAAACTTACTCATTAAATTATCTTGATTAAATTAATAAAGCCATGATATTACTTTTGACGGTGTTGAAATTTCGACGGTGTTGTGAAAATCTTACAAACTCCATTGAAATTTCTACATTTGTCGAAATTTCCATGGAATTTCTAAATTCGCAGAAATTCCAAAGCAAAAATTCACAAAAGCAGATCAACGCATTTACCATATTTCTGAAGCACACTTATCTAACATGATATACTGATTTTTTTAAAAATGGAGCAGACTAATACTATTTTGTCGATGGAACTCAATTTCTGCACAACTTTCTTGAATTTTTTAATACACTGTGAAGTAGAGAAGTAGTCCTTAAATATGTATGGATGTATTTTTATTTTGTTTTTAGAATAATGTGTAAGGAATGTCTTCAGACAACTAGTCAAGATGAAGTATAGACGATTGCTTATATGTCTCAATATGAGTACTCACAACTACTCTCCATTTTAGATCCTGCTTGATCGGGGGTTTCAAAAAGAATTGGATCAGTTGGAGATTGTGTGTAGTAAAAAACCTAATGGTTGCGAATGGCTCGGTCGGTTGAAATTTTATCAGGTATTTTTGAAGACAGTGATTTTTCTAATAAAGTCTAATGTAATGTTATTCTTCTCAGGATCACATTGATACGTGTCATATCATAAGTGTGCAGAAATGTCAATATTGTGATGAAATATTTTCAACAATTTACGCACTGAATGATCATCAAAAAAATTTCTGTAGCAAAGTAAAACAATTATGTCAATTGGCAAAACATGGGTGTCTACAAGAAACGGTAAGTGGTCGAACTACTATCTGTTTCAAAGTATAAGACAGTCCGATGTTTTTGGATAACTTTTGACGCTAAAGACTCGCGCTTTTCAGATTATGTAAGAAGACACCCGGGGATATAATTTTATGCTAAACTGAGTCAAATCTGACAGACCTACCATAATGTACCTTTCGCGGTTCAGAAGCTACTGGCAATCTCTGAGGCCTACCTATCAGCTAAACCCGAAGTCTGGAAACTTCGAAAGTACGTGGTACATAGGTTTTCGGGCTCGCTGAATCTCGTGACAATGTTTGTTTGAGGTTCCCAGATTTCGGGTTTAGCCAATAGGTAGATCCCTGAAGATTGTTAGGAGCACTCGAACCACAGTAGATGGAGACTGGAGACTTGTACCAGATTGTAGAGCAACATCTGTTGTATATCGATATATGTTTAGGGCAAACTTTGCTATGTATATTTTTGGAACGGCAGACTCGGGCATTTTGTTTCAAAAGGTACACTATAGTGAGTCTGTCGGATATGGCTCAAATTTATCATAGAATTATGCCTCCGGCTGTCCTCTTGCATAATCTGAAAAGCTGCGGGTCTGTAGCTTCAAAAGTTATTAAAAAAACATTGAGCTGTCTTACATTTTGAAACAGATATAAACAAAACCATCTTCTTCTCAGTGTCTAAACTGGCAATTGATGTGCAGGAAGTCTACCTTTTTAAGAGTTTCATGATCAAATGAACTTTCACTATTTTTAGATTCTCCGATCGGAAATGGGTGTTCATTATTTATCGGAATTACACCAGACAAGTTTATGTTCGTTTCTTCAACGCCTTGTGTCGTTTATTTATACCCTTCTATATGGTAATAATCAAACAACAATTACTTCTGAAATATCTGAGTTATCATCTTTGGAAAATGTTCAACATACGGATTCTACAGTGCCACTGGCATGCGTCAGCAATTGTTATTCTCAACTACAAGAATATTACGAGACACTAATAACATTGACCAAAGATATTCAAAAATTAAGTGAAAACTCCGTTCGACTAAGTACTGAGTCATTACGTCTTCAACATTTAGAACAAGCCTGTCAAAAAGTTATAAATCAAGTAAAACAGTCGATAACTGAGTGTGACTCATACATAGTTGGAATTACACAGAATTATGAAGTTTTGCAACAGGAAGTGTCAAGTATGAAACAAAAACTTGAAGATTTACAATCAATATCGTATGATGGCATACTTACTTGGAAAATAGACAATGTCAGTGAAAAAATGGCTGATGCACAAAGTGAGAGACAAACATCAATTTATTCACCACCGTTTTATTCTTCACCAACAGGTTATCGAATGCGCATTCGCCTGTATCTTCATGGTGATGGTAATGCTAGGCGGACTCACATGTCTCTGTTCTTTCTGATTATGAGGGGAGAATACGATGCTATTCTTCGGTGGCCGTTCAACTTTAAGGTCACATTTTGTTTGTATGATCAGTCAGGACAAAATCGACACATCATTGACTCATTTCGTCCAGATACAAAATCAAATAGTTTTCAACGACCACGTTCTGAGATGAATATTGCCAGTGGTATACCAAAATTTTTTCCGTTACCAATGATATTGCAGGATAACAACAATTATATCAAGGATGACACAATGTTTATTAAATGTCTCGTTGATTTTGGTGATATATCGAAGATTATTTTGCCCTATGCTTTAAGTTTAAATCCAGCCCTACCACATTATGTACAGCGAAATTTGATACATGCCGAAACAGAACGACGATTACAATCACAACAACAGTCAACAGTACCAGCGACAAATAATAATTCTCAAGTATTTGTAAATCAAATAAACAATGATAATACACTAATGGCCTTAGATAATATAAATTGTCAATCATTACCACTTGAATCCAAGCAAAATATTCTTGTAATGGATTCAGATCAAATCACTAATTCGTTACAACATCAACAAAATCACACTTCGACATTATTGAGAAAGCCGTCACCACCATCCAAGAAGAAAAAGATGAGCAGTTCAAGTACTGATGAGAGCAAAGATGATACAATGAACGAATAGAACAAATCCATAACTTTGGAAAAAAATTATCTTTTCATAATGGTAGTGTAGTATTTTGTTGATTGATACGAAGCGATTAATGTACAAAAAATTAGTATGATCAATATCCAATTTTTTTGCAGTTTTTCATATAGACATATCGGAATGTTTTAATTAATGAATGTTTTGTTGTTATTATAATCATGCAATTTTCATGAATGAATGTGTAAAATATCATAATAGAATTTAGAGTACACCATGCTTATTTCTTTGATTATACACAATCCATGTTCAGTTGATCTTAATTTCTTTTTCCTAAGTCTCTATCTACCGAGATTCAGAAGCTATTGGCAATCTCTGGGACCTACCTATCAGTTAAATCCAAAGTCTGGGAACTCCAAAAGTACACGGTACATAGGTTTTCGGGCTCGCTGAATTTTTCTGCTGGGGCAATAGAAAAATGAAAACCTTCTAGCATCTTCATTTCTCAACCAAATGGCATGAAAATTCAAGAGTGAGCATAAGCATAGCGATAGGTGTTCTATCCGACCTCACGACCAGAACTATAGAAAACAAAGCGGACCTTCGACAGATTTTTCAGAAAACCTCTGAAGGTCTTCAAGTAAAATCTCAGTATGAGAAATAATTTTCAATTTTCTAAACTGTACATCAGGCGAAACTGAGTGGATTTTGACAATTTGAAGCAGTTTGGTTGAGAAATGAAGGTGTTTGAAGGTTTTTGTTTTATTATTGTCACAGTGGAAAAATCAAATTTTCTGAAAATTCGTCTTTAGAAGTTTCTTTAATTCAGACAATAAAATAAACATTATCATGAGATTCAGCGAGTCCCAAAACCTATGTACTTTTAGGGTTCCCAAACTTCGAATTTAGCCAATAGGTAGGTCCTCAACGATTACCAGAAGTGCTCGAACCGACGACGACTTGGGACTTGTGTCAGATTGTAGAGCAACATCTGTTGTATATCGATATGTGTTTAGAACAATACTTTGGTATGTATATTTTTGGAACGGTAGGCTCAAACATTTTGTTTCCAAAGATACGCCATGGTAGATCTGTCGGATATGGCTCAATTTATCATAGAATTATATCCCCGGGTGTCCTTTTACATAATCTGAAAAGCTGCGGAAAATTCTGTAGCTTCAAAAATTATTCAAAAAACATCGGACTGTCTTATACTTTGAAACAGATAGTAGTTATTAACAAAAAAACTGAAAATCAGGATGACATACTATTATTATATACTATACTATTATTTCATTAAATTGAATGTTTAATGTGTCATTGATCTCTTTCTTTGTTCAGATACCAAACCTGTCATAGAGATGGGCATTTTTCGTCTCATATTTGTTGCAGCTAAAGAAAAGCAATAGTACGATAAATGTCAAGAAATGTAGAAATCTTACATATAGTGTCTACGTTTGTTACAAGTGCACTTGGTATGGGTTTGATGAATGAAGATGGTGTAGACGGTTTCTGAACATTAACAACACGATTGATGGGTAAGTACCGGGTTATCTGATGATTATGATCACTCGTAGCAACTTTGGTAGAGTCAGACCCATTCAATATTGAAGATGATTGGTCTGTTTCAAAACAAGGTGTTATAACAGATATTTTGTAATCTAATGCATTATTATGCACCATCTCTGAACTGGTAGTTGTTGTACTGTTATTGACAACTCCATTTGTTTTTGTACGTCCAGATGAATGGACATCAGTGCGTTTTCCATGGGAACAGAAACCTGTATTTTCATTATTTCTTAAATTGAACGCAGTTAGCGAAGGGGATATATGCTTATTCAATGAGTTATTATTGTGCTAAAGGTAAGCATCGATTAAGCATAAAATAAACAAAATGTACACATCAACTTTCTTACTCTTGATTGTAACGCATGCACAGTAGTCATCTGAACATTGCGAATGTCTTTGACTAAATGTGTGTAAAATAATTATGCTGTGAATACTGAACTTGAAGTTGCTTACATTCTCTTGAAAGTCGACGTCCTAATGGTGGTGATCGAAGATTTAATAAAGGGACTATTTTAAAGTTATTCGATTGTGGTACGAAGTCTTCATCAAATGCCTGACGACCACTGTCTAAATGTGATGGAGGTGAAATCTTTTCTATTTATCTGCATTTTCGTAATCGATCAAGCTTACAATCATCGTTCTGTGTTCTAACTTTCGTTGGTTTACTTCGAAATTTGCCCTCGTTTGTAAAGACAATAATCTACAATAATTGTATATAAAATGAATGTGTTTACATTATGTAAGGTGAGTTTAATGACCTCTATCATATATTCTGAATCTGGTTTCAACATTGTTAAATGATATTCTAACTCCGTTCCAGAGTAGACAGTTTTCCCATTTGAAATAAGTTCACAATGTGTAAACTTGCCAGCTAATACGTCTGGTAATTGCCATTTCACGATTATTTCACGTCGACCAATAACGGGGAATGTTGGACGATCAGGACTTGTTTCCCCTACAAAGATTGTCAAGTATGCAAATAACACTAGAGCATACGGATATATTACCTATTGATGAAGTTGTAACACTAATTGTTGTCTTTGGCCATTTTCTTTTACTTGTTGCGGGGCAAACCTATGTAGGTCGTTTTCCACTAATTAACGAGAGACGCTTGATTTGTAACAAAGCTTACTGATATTTTGTATGTGCTATTTGGAGACAGATTACCAATTGTTACACTACATTCAGTTGTATAATCCACCTCCTTATCATCTAAAATGATAATTTCATAATTCTATTGGTTCTGTCACCAGAAGAAAATATAAGTCCATTACCAAGATAAATATAATATCCTTTGATCAATTCGCATTTGATGGTATCAATTGGTGGTTGCCATGAAACTCTTGTAGCTGTCGTTGATTTACGCATAACACATAAGTTATTAACTGAAGGTAGAATTTCATCGTCTGTTTTGAATTTGACTGGTTCACTTACGGCACTTTCACCGTAAGCTGTGATATATTGTAACTGTATTGTATATTCAGAATTTGGCTTTAAGTGTGACAAAGAACAATTTGTTTTCGATGTATTCTGTACCGGAACATTGTCTTAACAAGGAATCAAGGTGTTTGAAAAATTCAAGTGTATACTCTAACATGGGAACTTGAGGTAATCATGCTCCCAAGTTCTTTGTTTTCTTGAAATAGGAACTTTTCACTTAAAGCCCCTCTGTCAGAAATCTATGTCATGAAGAAATCTCGCCAAGTGGTAAAAGCTTTATATAGCTTTATGGCTCTCTGTGCGATAGAAAAAATAAAGGAAATATTTTTTCTCTTACACACGCTCAAAAGTCGCTAGGATGAAAACATGAGATTGTAAACGTTTTTTTACTACAAGTGAGCTATAATTCAAATTTTTTCACAGCATATAGCTGTTTCATAGATCTACTACAAAAAACGTCTTCAGGAGAGGGGCCTGAATACTGATTATCACTTACCTAATAAGAGACGAAATTGTACATCGAAATCCAAAATGTCTGCGCATAATTCCCATGAGACTTCAATATCATGTGAGTTGCTGCCTATACTCAGCGAAAATAAATCTCTCGTTTAATCTGCACTTACGCTGATGATTCTAACTCACTGATAACTATTGGAGGACTTGGTTTCAAATTTTTTTGTAATGTATGCCAAATTAGCCTTAATTCATTTTGAATATCTTGACATTTTAACCATTTTTCTTGTGCATTCTTCAATAGGATAGTAAACTTAATAGTGCAACTGTTCATGTAACTTTTCGATAAGCTTACTTTGAGTTTTGATTTCAATTCTTTTGATCTTTGTAATCTTTGAGCAGTTTCTTCAAAGCCAGCCAATATTCTCAAATATCTGCAACGAAATAGTGATGAATTTTTAATTATTTTAAATAGTGTGCATACTAACGTGACAGCAAACCATACTGTTTCTCTATCATCTGACGTAATGATATTTTCAATAGCTTCTAGTATAGTTTCAACATTTGATTGAATCACTACTTCTATACCATATTCACTATTACATATACAACTCAATGCATAACAAGCATTTTTATGTAATTCTACATTATCTGACGAAGTTAACATTGAAGCTAAACCATTAAACTAAAACAAAGCTCAAACTCATCATCATGTTGTCGAAGACGTTCTTCGGTGTATTATACCAATGCTTCTTGTCCGACAGCATTGATTATCGTTCTTCTTCCTTCATCTGTTTCACACAAACCTGCTATGGTAAATGCTGCATTTGTTGAGCGATCTGAACAAAATAATACAATCTATTTAGATCTGCGGCATCAAGAGGTAAAACAACATTTACCTTGATTATCAATTTTCAGTGCATCGACCAATCGTTTCAATATAAAACGAACTCTTTTGTGAGTTAAAATTGTTTTACATCCAATTTTTTCAACACTCACTCTAAAGTTAAACAAATATGACGTGCGTTTCAACTATTTCTATCACACACTGACCTTGCTAGAACAAGTGCAGAATTATCTGCTATCCATGTATTTGATGAATTTAATATATCAGCTACATTTGATAGAATATCTTTCAAACTCGAATGATATAATACAAAATCTCGTCCTTCTTTTGAACCACACTAGATAAATAAAAAAGTAGATCTTATCTATAATGCTATGTCAAATGTAATAAAAACAATTATATATAAAAAGTACTATTTACTATTGTACCCAATGCAGCGGCTGAATTTAAAACACATTCAGGATCCGTTTTCTTTAACATTATACATAACAGTTGTAAAACATTTACATCGATTTTATCATTATTAAATACATCAATAAAACGCTTTAAACCTATTTCTAATTCAATAATACTTCCTATTATAAATATCACATTTCCACAAGTTCTAAAAGTAGACAAAACAATGATCTTAGTTTCATTAGTTGCTTTAGTAAACTTTTTCTGAAATAAAAATTTCACCTTTCATTATCAGACGATAACAATTTGACTAAATTGATAAAAATATCATTGACAAATTGTTCATTTAAAAATTTGTTAATGATCACATCACGATCTAATCTAATATCTTCGACAAAATATTCTAATGCATGCCGTTGTTTCTGACTTGTATGAGATGATGTAGTTGAACTGTCCGATGACAAACACGCTGTTTGTTGTTGCTCTTCAAAAAGTATTAAAAAATAATTTTTTCGATCAAAATGAAGCGTTGATGTACTCATATTTTCATGAACAATTGTCATCTAGAAGAAAAACACTCATAAATAATATAAAGAAAACTTTAAAAAAATGTTTTACTCGCAATTTTTTGGATCTGAGCAAAGATTAACTCCAATGAACCTTTTTTTATGATGATTCATCTTCATCTCGATCTCTCTCAGGCGAATGTTATCGCAGAACTAATCAACATACAATCATTTTTCAAAATTAAAATTAATTCATATTCGATTCATTGGTACGAATAACAGCACACTATTCAATGTCTCTTGAGCGACCTATAATTTTGCTATAACGACAAATATATTTGTCAAAGATCGCATAGTATCTCAGTGCCTAGCTTGTCTTGTACTTTTTCCTTCAGTGAAGATGCATTACACTCATCAAAACTTCATCTGATCGGATCGGGTTGAATACTTTGCCGTAGAACCACAAAAGACATTACGCTTATAATACTTTTCCAATGTACGATCGCGCAATTAGACTCACAAAATGAATATGTATTTTCCAAAACCAAAGTAAAAAAATATTTTTTACATGCAAAATCTCACCCTCAAATCAGCGAAGAAAAAGTCGGAATTCTGCATATAATTTTCAATTTTCTGTAACAGAACTCAACTTCTATGTAGTAAAAAATACCATATTCGAAATCAGGATCAGAAACTGAGTCAATTGATGTGTATTTTTATCTTATCCGAGTGCTTTAATTCTTTTTCGAATTTTTACGTTGATAAAATCATCGAGATTTTCACCAAAAAATGAAAATCAACTAAAAATTTCGAAATATATATCAGTCAATTCGTTTTTTTATTCTGATTCCGAATATGATATTTTTTACTACATAGAAGTTGAATTCTGTTACAGAAAACTAGACCTGTGTTTCAGCTCATAAGTTCAGCTCATTTGAGCGAAAGAACTGTTGAACAGTTCTTTTGAAAAGAGCTGATATGTTTGAACAGCTCTTTTGAATTTTTAAAAATTGAAATTTTTTGAAATTTTTTCAACGACTACTGCAAATGTATGACCGTTCTTCTCCAGTGCTTCGAGTTGAGCAAGCTCTTGCTTCAGCGTGAAAGCTTTAGCATCATTCTGGAGAAAACATTCAACTTTACTTCCAATATTAAACCAGATGGCACGTCGATTCGGTCCTATACCCGCAACCTCAGTCCCCAATGAGAGCGCATTCTCAATCGCAGGCTATGTTGCTCGAAAAACACGGTCTTCTCTCTCAGCTAAAACCTTGAAATATTCAATGTTCCTAAAAGATAAACTTTAATCTTTTCTTTAGTCTGCTTTTCTTACAAAGATCATACTTCTTTTATTTTACTTTTTAACCATACTTATCTGAGGAATAA